TCACCATTAATGGGAAACTTTGGGGGGGGTGCAACTGCTGGCACGTACAGCTTTGATAATGGGTTTTGGACAAAATAAGTTAAGCTTACAATTTAATTCACAATTACTGCAACCACAGACTTGATTTCGAGTAGGCAATTCAGGGGCGGATCCCACTGATGTTCAAGGGGAATCGAGCTACGGGAGCAGTAAAGGTGTAACGTTTTTTTCTGAAGGACTTTCCTTTTTTCTGGCCCAAAGGGGTCCCCTCTTGCGTAAATCCGGGGTTGTTTTTTTTAGGGGGGGGGGTGTTGGATCGGCACAACCAGGCTATTCAATAACAAAACTTTCAGAAAAACGTGAAACAAATGCTAATTTTATTATAAAATCAGTGTATTTTAACAAACTGTAATATATTTTGACATGGTTTACCAAACTGAAAAATTCCAGTCTGAAAAAGTCTTTTGCAGTAGCTTACTCAGTATTGTTGTTTTTACAAGACAATTCATCCACACAGTAGATAGTCTGAATAAGTTGCTCAATCAAGTTAAATGTTCAGGATGACATTTAATAACTTTTAAGGTGATTGCAAAACATCCCTTAGGCTGTAGGCCGTCAAAAGTAAAATAGCCTAACCCCTTGAATATTGCTATTCACAAAGCCTATATACATGTCCTTGAAAATAACTTCTTCTGTTTGTTTGATAGGCGCTTGGATGACAATCAGATATCTTATATACAAGGTGCATCGTTCCTTACTCTTAACAACCTTCAAACCTTGTAAGTAGCTGTTCTCATTACATTCTGTATTTTATTTCCATTCTTCCTTAATAAGTAAATCGTAGCTATACCCACTAGACCCATAACAAACACCCCAAAACACATAAAGACCCACAAATAAATCCTACTTTATCATCATGGACATTAATTACTCTGACGAATGACTTTCATCACGTTCATAAATTTGGCCTAGAAAATAGTCATGTTGAACAAAGGGATTTCCTTTAACGACTAGAGAGTAAAGATTAGACACTCGATGATATTCTTATGCAATAAATATGAAATGTTAAAAATCATTGTCATTGAAGGTGCTACTATAACGGTAGGTGCATTAGAGCACATGCACGCGTGCAGGATCCACTGCATGATGGATAAACGCGAATACATATTCTTTTCTGGAATAGGTTTTTCGATACTGATACACTTTCGGTATAGAATGAAAGCTTGAACAATTAAAGTTAAGACTTGAAAGCGGATTTCCCCCCCCCAACATTGTAAACACCCCAATTTTTCGAATGGAAGAGACACACAAACGGCCATTCGCACTTGGCGATGCCCCCCCCCCCTTCGCCCTCCTCTGCAGGCTTGATGTTGTTATAGTTTGATATGCGAAACCCGCCGCAGCGATAACCAGCCGCCGAGAGAGGGCGCTCTGACTACCAACCAAAAGCATCTGACAACGTCTGGGCCAACTCCTAAAGTCCCCCGCCCCCCCCCCCCCCGAATAATGGGGGTAACTACACGACTTCTTTACAGGCGCGGTTCTAGAGCCAATATTTAGGGGGGCTAGCCAGGTGGATCCAGAATTTTTTTCCTGGGTGGTGTGCTGAAATGTAGACCGGTTATTTTCTCCGGACACTAAGGCCTCTGAAAATCAATACGTGGGGGGAGGGGGGGGGGGGCTCGTGCCATATTTTCAATGGGGAGCGTTGATAAAATCCTCCAGTCAGGCACACATATTGACTGCTGCGCCCGAATATACTCGGGATAGCTTTACACCCCGGCAGGTGCTATGCCCGAGTATACTCGGGATAGCAGTAAACGTTGTGCTGCCCTCTGTTGAACAACATCAATTGTTTAGGGGGAGACCGTTCCCATGTACGTCATACTCTTACATTTTTGCTAGTGCATTGGTTTCTTAAAGCCCCCTTAAAGCCCCCCTAGCCCCCCCCCCCCCCCCCCCCCCCGTAGAACCGCCACTGACTTCTTCAGGCAATTACTGGTAATTTACAGTCCCACACATACTGCACACAACAAAAAATCTGACCAGTGAAGTTGCACCAACTTCTTGTTGCATTTTCACATTACTGGAAGAAATTTGAGAGTTTGCTTCGGAACTACTATGATTTTTTTGAATGCGCGCCGAGCTGAAAATATTAGGCCAAAAAGGTCGTGGGGTATATTAAAGACATAGTCCATCATTTGTAATTTGTGCATTTTGTTTGGAGCAACAAAAGTGTTCAAAATCTAATAAAGGATACTGAACAACTTACCTGATGAAGTTTCAGCTCAGCTTCAGCTGTATTTTCCGAGAAAAAACAGCATTCTAGGATCTCAATTTCAAATCAAATGTTGCTAAATCGTGCTTTGAATTGTTTTGAATTGCAGCTTTACGCAATGTCGCGCACTGATCCGACGAATTATAGCAACTGCGCGCGCCTGTGCGTCGTGTCAATGTTGCGCGCGCTGCGCCGAATAACAAAACGAACTACTAATTTAAATTTTCCTACGGTGCTTTTTAAGACGCACCGTTGGAAATGCCTTCTTTCGTTGATTTCTTTAAAATGAGAGCATGCCAGAAAGAATAATTTCACAGGGAGTTTAGTCCCCTTAATATCTTTCAACCAGTATGTTTTTCAACAATAATTACGCCAGTTACTTTTTTGGATAGCTGCAATGATGGACTCGAGCTGTACGTAACTAGAGCGCTAACTCCTCTTTTTTGCACGCATAGACACTTTGAAGCCGTCCTGGGTGCAGACATTTTGAATTCATGTGCGTGTTTGTAGAATATAATGAAATTAAATGGATTGAATTTTGAAAGTGTACTCTAAATGCAACGCGCAAGTAGAACGTACGCAAACAGTGTACGAATGGGTTGCCATAGATACATGTGGGCCTAGTGCACAAGTACCCCTTCATTGTTGAAAATGAGAAGGAGCAATGTACAGATGGTGTAAACATGCAGTGTTCTTCAAACGCTTGTGGTTAATTAAAGCTATATTCCATCATTTTCAGCTATCCAAAAAGTAACTGACAGAATTATTTTTTAAAACACACTTGGTTGAAAGATAGTAAGGGGACTAAACTCCCTGTGAAATTATTCTTTCTGGCAAGCTGTCATTTTGAAGAAATCAACGACAGTTGGAAATATCCGTTAACGTTTTCAGCATCTCGTGTCGTGTTTTGCTCGTGATTTGTTCTCAAAAATGTCTTAAAAGCTTCGTAATAATTATGCGCAGGACCTACTCAAGACGTGCGCGATGTTCGCAAACTCTTCGTAAATCCCCAAACAGACCGTCGGTCCAGGAGCGGCGGAACCGGGGGGGGGGGGGGGCTGGGGGGCGTTTGCCCCCCAGATTTTCCCAAGTGCCCCTTTTGCGGCTATAAATGTGCCCCCTCGAGATAAATAAAAAATGCCCTTAAAGTATCTTAGTATTTCTTAGAAGTAACCATTTCCCAATAATGGTAGAGATATGTTTGATATAAACGAGGAATATGAAAACCAAGTCCCAAAACCCATACAAGACGCCCTGAAAATAGGCACATAATGTATGTTTAGCATATAATCATTGGTTTTGAAGAGCGCCCCCTATGTTGGAAGATGGTACAAGCCCCCCACCCCCCCCCCCCCCCCCCCCCCCGGCACTATTTGATTTTACGGAGGCCAAGTGTCCGGTGAAAAAAACGTGGCGACATTTCAGCACGGGTTTGCAAGTGCCCCTTTTGGTTTGCAAGTGCCCCTTTTTGGTGCTGCCCCCCCCCCCCCCCCCCCCCCCCCAGTTTCAAACCCGTTCCGCCGCCGCTGCGTCGGTCGGATCACCAGTCGCAAGATAATCGCGCGACATATGTACGAATGTCACAGGAATGTCGCACGGCGTTCGTTGTTCGCGAAATATGCGGAAAAGGTTCGCATGTGTCGCTACAAATCCGCAAGAATTTCGCCCGTGATTCTTGGAACATTCGAGTTGTTCGCATTTAGGTCGCGTGTTCTTCGTGTATGTTGACTTGCCGTAGTTCAGTCACGGTACACACGACATCGCACAAACTGCGCAAGAATGGTTTACGACTCCATTGTCGGGAGACATTCGGAGAAAAACCTCTCCGAATGTTGGACTTTGCCATTTTTCGACTTTCGCATCCTTCGCAAATCGTTCGCGTGCCCCGTGAAAACCGACCTTTACTTTAATTCGTCGGATCAGTGGGCGCCATCGCATAGCTGCAATCGGCTAATTAAGTACGTGTCTCGGACGCTGAGTTCAGGCCCAATTCAAAACATGATTCAGCAACCTTTTGATTTGAAATCGAGATCCAAGATGTTGTTTTTCGTGGAATATACAGCTGAAGCTGAGCTGAACCTTTATCAGGTTAGTTGTCCACATAGAGCTATATTAAATTACTAGAGCGCTAACTTCGTGTACAAAGTTATGCCTGATGGGCGCATCTATGTTTGTGCACAAATTTTGTATGGCTTTTGTACGGCTATTTGCATATCTGCGTTTGTATTCCAAACCGGTGCGTTATTGAAGCCGATAAGCCCAAAACCGAAACACACGATCAGCAAATGAGCGTGTCATTTTGCTCTACGCAAACAGCGCAACGCGTGCGGGTATTCGCTGCAGATGCTTTTTGCTGTAAGGTTTTTTTAACCGTCCATGACGCGCTTAAGTTATTTGCGTTTTTTACTTGCGCATTGCATGTAGAGTATACACTTTTGAAATTCAATCCATCTAATTCCATTATGTTCTACAAACACGCACATGAATTCAAAATGTCTGCGCCCAGGACGGCTTCAAAGCGTCTCCGCGCGCAGAATGACGAGTTAGCGCTCTAGTAATTTAATATAGCTCTATGGTTGTCCACCACCCTTCTTTAGAACAAAATGCACAAATTACAAATGATGGACTGTTTACCTTTAAGCGCGTCACGACAGTTTTAAAAGTTACGGTAATCATCTGCAGCGAATACGCGCACTCGTTGCTCTATTTGCACCATAGAGCTACATTAAAGAGCGCTAACTCGATGTACAACTTCTCTCTGGACTACTACCTTATCGTGGTGGAGGAGTTTGTGCACCTCAGTGACCCTGAGAGCTATGCTGGCAGGAGTTCTTTTACTCCTAGCAGGGCCACCCAAGCCAGACAGGTCAAAGGGTAGAGGTCAGACGAAAGGTAGTCCACATCTGTCAGCTCGGCAGCAGGGGCTGGCAGCTACAATCATGGCATATTCAATTGTTTGCTACTGGCATGTTGTAGCCGACTGGCAAGCGGATGAGCTCATCTTGGGTCAACGGCTGTTGGTCAACAGGCATAGTTAGTTTGCTACTGCGGGGCAGCCTCCATTCATCCCTGCTGTCACGCTTTGTTGCGTTCCGCTGGATTCGATGAATGTCAGGCCCAGAGGAGAGCGTCTGTCCTGGGCAAGCATTCGCTCTCTTTTCCCCTCTGCCTCGGCGCTCGGCGTCTACTAATCATGATGGTTTCCAATAATATTCAGCTACCGGCAATGCGGGAGTTACCCTCTTCGGGGGCTTTCGTTGCTCGGCAAGGTTCGCGTTCCAGGCAGGCGCGACCTGGTCGTCATCCTGCTACTGCCTATATAGCCTTCGCTTGTTGGAATGTTCGTTCTCTCGGTGTTCATACAGACAGCCACTCCTCCTCGCCAAGAAAATCAGCAGTGGTTGACCTCGAGCTTACTCGTCTCGGTATAAGTGTTGCAGCTCTCAGCGAAACCTGGCTAACTGGCTGTGGTTCTATTCGAGAGGAAAATTTCACCTTCTTTTGGAGCGGTTACGCAGATGATGCAAGGCCTATGCATGGTACAGGCTTCGCAATTCGGAATTCCCTACTCCCTTGCACTCAGCAACCTGCCGCCATCTCTCCTCGCCTCATGTCCTTGCGCATGTGTCTGAGCACTGGTTACGTCACTTTAATCTCTGCTTATGCACCTACCCTGACGTCTACCCCAGAGTCTAAAGACGACTTCTATCTTCAGCTTAGTGAGTTGTTGCACAATATCCCGGCTGGTGATGGCATCATTCTCCTTGGGGACTTCAATGCCCGCATTGGTTCTGACTGCAGTGCGTGGAAGAATGTAATTGGCCCGCATGGTGTTGGGAGAATGAACGACAATGGTCAACGTCTCCTCGAGCTCTGCGCTTCGTACAACCTATGCATTGCCAACACCTTCTTCGCAGGCTCTGTTCGCTCCAAGGTCACCTGGAAACACCCTCGCTCACAGCACTGGCACCAACTGGACCACATCATTGTCAGACAGAGACAACTGCGCGATACCACCCACTGCCGCAGCTTGCATTCTGCTGATTGCAATACAGACCATGCCCTTGTTCGCTGTAAGCTTCGTTTACTACTCAAGAAGTTCCATCGTGCAACGCATAGACCATTGCCTGCTATTGACACTGTCTCAACTCACGACATCAGTCATGTTACTCAGTTTCAAGAGCTCCTTTCTGGTAACTTCAGCTCAGCACCAATCTCTGCCAACCCTGAAGGTGCTTGGTCTAGGTTCCGTTCAGTAGTCTACAACAGTGCTGTGTCTGCCTTTGGTCGCTGCTCACGAAAGCAACCTGACTGGTTCCGGGACAGCGCGGACATACTGCTCCCTGCACCAGAGAACAAACGGTCAGCCAGAAACAAATGCCGCTTGATCAACACACGCTCCTCAAAAGCTGCCCTTCGGGCTGCCAAGAGCACTGTCCAGCGTCTTACTCGAGCAGCTTTGCAACGCTACTGGTCTCACCTAAGTGATCGCATCCAACGTTGTGCCGACTCTGGTGATCTACGCGGCTTGTACCAAGGCATTAAGGAGGCAATTGGTCCTACCCCAAAGAAATCTGCTCCTTTACTGTCGTCCACTGGTGCCATCCTCACAGACCAAACAGCACAGCTTGACCGGTGGGTAGAGCACTATAGCTCACTTTACAACAGCGATGCTGCAGTCAGTACTTCTGCAATATCTACCTTACTCAGCTTCCCATCCTGAAAGAGGTGGACAATTCCATCACCTTGGAAGAAGTGAAACATGCCATCAACGGCTTAAAGAACAACAAGGCTCCTGGCACTGATAGCATCCCTCCAGAGGTACTTAAGAAGGGTGGTAATATCTTGGCTGCAGAGCTCCACGCTGTTCTCCTGACCTGCTGGAAATCCAGTTAATACCACAGGATCGAAAGGATGCAAACATCATAACCCTCTACAAAAACAAAGGTAACCGACAAGACTGCAATAACTACAGAGGCATCTCACTGCTGTGCTTAGCTGGGAAGGTTTTTGCTCGAGTGCTGTTACCTCGGCTACAGGTCATTGCCAACAGAATCCTTCCCGAAAGCCAGTGTGGCTTCCGCCCATCCCGCTCCACTGTTGACATGGTGTTTTCCTTGAGACAACTCCAGGAGAAGTGTGTTGAACAGCGGCGACCTCTGTACATGGTCTTCATCGACTTGACTAAGGCCTTTGATAACGTGAGTCGTTCAGGCCTGTTTTCCATCCTAAAGCGCTTGGGCTGCCCAGATAGGTATTTGTCTATTCTGATGTGTTTTCATGACGACATGCACGCCACAGTCCAGTTCAATGGCTCAAGATCTGCTAAGTTTGAAGTTCGTCGGGGCGTCAAGCAGGGGTGTGTACTTGCTCCTACCCTGTTTGGGATCTTTTTCTCAGCCCTGCTACACCGTGCATTTCCTGAACCATCTGGTATCCTACTTCACACACGCAGCTCCGGGAATTTCTTCGACCTGTCCCGTCTCCGTGCCAGGACGAAGATTCGGCATGTTCTCATCCGGGAACTCCTGTATGCTGACGATGCTGCCATTGTTGCCCACTCAGCAGATGAGCTTCAACATCTCTGCAACTCATTTGCCAGTGCTTGCTCGGAGTTTGGCATGATCATCAGCCTTGGCAAGACAATGGTGTTATCGCAAGGCCCAGGTCCCCCTCCCATGATCACCATCAATGGCACACCTCTGAGCGTGGTCAACAAATTTCAGTATCTGGGTTCTACAGTTACCAGCACCAACTCCCTGGATACCGAACTTGACTCCCGAATAGGTAGGGCTGCAACCACCTTTGGCCGACTCCGTGCTCGTGTTTGGGACAACCGGGCCCTTTCCATCAAGCTGAAGATCCGCATCTACGTATCCTGTGTGCTTAGTGTGCTTCTCTACTGCAGTGAGTCATGGCCGACCTACCGCCGTCAGGAACGTCGACTGAACGCGTTCCATTTCCGCTGCCTACGTTCAATTCTTGGAATCTCCTGGCAAGACCGAGTCTCAAACCCTGCCATTCTTGAGCTCACAGGAGTCAACGACATGTTCACATTGCTGTCAGCTCGCCGCCTTCGTTGGTCTGGTCATGTCTGCAGACAAGAGGACGGTCGACTGCCGAAGGACATCTTCTTTGGGGAGCTGGCTCATGCTCATCGCCCCCGAGGTCGTCCAAAAATCCGTTACAAGGATGTTCTAAAGCGTGATCTGCGAACCTTCCGAATCCCAGTCACCTCCTGGCAGACCGTGGTGCAGGACCGCACTCGTTGGCGATCCGCTGTCCATCTTGGCCGCTCTGCTTCCTCTGCCGCCTATATTGCTGATTGCGAGAATCGTCGTGCAGCTAGACACCGAGCTACATCGTCGTATTCGACGGGATAGGCCACTACTGCCGTGTCACGCGTAGCTGCTCTATTTTCTCGTCCACACAACTGACAGCAACGCGAGGCCAGCGAAAGATGGCCATAAAAAGGGCTTCAGAAAATTCGCAATTTTCATGGCAAACCACAACCGATCCAAACAAACAAAAGTTGTTCTAGGTAGTTAAAGACCTACTTCAAACATCCATCAAGGTATTTTTTTCCTCAAAAAATGGAATTCGATGCATTTTGACGATATTATTTCACGGACAAGTTTTCCGGGGTTTTTTTTCGACAACGACGAAAGTCTCCCAAATGTTGAGTCAATCAAAGGAAAGAACGAACCTTCATCTACAACAAAATCTTGTGAACGTGATGTCGTTAATATTTTAAGAATTCGATGTACACCTAATGTTTCCAACAACTTCCATTTTTCACAACGCGAAAAGATCGTCTCCATTGTAAATAGTCCGAGAGCCCAGTGAGGTTTAATTAGAATATCGCGCACAAAAGGTTTGATGGTGGCAGTGAGTAGGTTCGGGGTGTCCAACCTTCGAAACCGTCATTCTTAAGTGTCACACCCCGTGCGTTTGGGAGGGGGCACCGCCTAAAGACCCCCAAAATTGACTTTTAATTAGAATATCGCGCACAAGCACGATTCCAACGCGAAAACATACTATTCGATGAACTTATCGAAGACCAATTGTTTAAGAATGAGAAATCCCGTGCATTCCATGATTAAGAATGACTTAATTAGTGCTAATTATTCACCTTTAACTACAATTTTGAGCACAAGAGCGAAACCTTCACTTAAAGCTTATTAACATGACCAAAATGCAAGATCCGAAACTTAAGAATGGATTTTCCCGTGCATTTTGTGCTTAAGAACGAGTTAAAGTTCCATAATTAGCCGCCCGCTAAGGAATTGTGTGATTAATTAGAATTAATCAGTCAGCGTTTGCAGAATTTCAACTTAAGAATAAAAAATCTCGTGCAAAATTTAAGAAACTTAACTTAAAGAACTTAAAAGAACGGCTTTATTACCGCTAATTACGATTGTATGGTACGGAGGCCGATACGGCTTAAAAAGTAAAAAACATACCGCCATAGCGAAACATTTCGCAATGCACATGCTAAAAAGCTTAACGAAATAATCCCCCGGAGCAAAAGCATCGCTACACACGTACTGCTATTATTAAATAACCCCCAGAATTACAAAATGATGCCATATACTTTATTATGCAATAATATTACGCCTGCCTCAATGTTCAAAATAGTAATGCTTTTGCGAATTACGCAATAATGCAACCTTTCACATTATTGAGAAATTCATATGTCCGCGTTATACATGTAGTCCAATTTGTCAAGTTGTCATGGCATTTAGATATTTCTTACGATGTAGAAAAGCCTGCCCAGCACATGAATGGACTGGAAATCATACCCAATCATGACAGATTCTGAATTATTAACGAGAGATAAATTTCGAAGAACCGTATCGAAGGCCTCAAATCAAGCACAAGATTTAGGATGTGACGAACGCTTTAGCGATCCTAAGGGCCATTATTTTTCTCCAAAGATTGATGGTAGTTCTTTTCGGCATAAAAAAAATGAAACAAAATGGCCGGGACTGATGTTTTTCCCCTTTAAAACTCCTATTAAATTGTATACACCAACTTGAGAAGCGCAAACTAATACTAAACGAGCATGTTTCCCACTCATCCGAAAGCATAGATCCCTGCTACCCGAATAAAGTCATGTGCATGTTTTACACATTTTTTAAAGTTTTCCATGGAGAGTGTTAAACTTTTTCAACCAAAGGCGCACAGTTTCTTTTAAAAAAGTGCCAAAAAAACAGTATTTCATATTATTATCAGTTCGATACCTACAAGTTCTTTAATTTTGATCAAAATAAACTTGAATGGGCCGGTTATGAATGTGTACCGGTACTATAGTGGATGGAGGGGAAACCTATCGTGTATAATTATTTGTTTTAAATGGCTTGTTGAACTAAATAATAACTGACGCACAAAGTACTTTTTATGGCCGACACATAAACATCAATCAGAACCGCTACAATGCACTGCGAGATACAATTCTAACTGGTTTCCTTCTTAGTTAGGGCCCTTAAAATCAGGGAGTGGGAGTGTTTCTGGGGTTTTAAAGGACCCCCGCGTGGTGGCGAGTACCGCTAGGAAATTTAAAACTAACACAAAAAGTAATGAAACAATCAAGTTTTGACATGGCCCACTCCATGATGTAGAATCCATTTTTTTCTGAGACCCTTCAGCAGGCCTCTGACTCCACGTCGTATTGGCTTCGCACATGAAAAGTTCCACGTTCGGATTTGAAGACACCCCCCCCCCCCCCCCCCTCTGTGATCAGGAAACGGGACCGACACTGTTGACAAGGCAACAGTAGGGACGGAGGGCGGGGGGAACAGGGAGACACCGGCACTTAAGGAGGGGGCACCGAGGTCGGATCAACATCATTTCCTCTCATTTTCCAGGCCACCACAAATGCTGCCAATTTGAAAAGCAGGGGAATTGGCTGGAACTCTTCGGACGCTTCAAGGCGCACTTTTTTGTTCGTATTAATTTATTCACATTTTATAAAGCTGTGCGGTTAAAGAAAGTCATTAAGGGAGTAGTCGACTGTATTCCTCTTCGTTTTATCAACTCACCAAAAAAATCTTTTAAAAGGAACTTCTTTGGCAACCTGGGGGCACCTGGGGGCACCTTGGGCCCTTCGAGAACCAAAATTTACGATTTGCAATGAGAGCCAAACTGCACTGAGTGAAATTTGTTTTTGAAAAAGCATGCATGCATTATTAAAAAAAAATGCGTTATAATTCCAAAACTATGTAAGGCCAAAAAAAAAAGTCTCCGGTTTCTGGTATGGAGCTTGTCCAAAAAGTGGTTCGGCGACGCGGCTTTTTTTTTTTCTGACTTTTTTGCTTCAAATGTCGACTGATGACTGCAAATGGTGCCCGACTAAACTTAGTGCAAATATATGGCAGTTCAGAGAGGCCACATAAAGCTTATTCTCGATCATAACCCCATCTAAAAACACGTTAAAATTGTGCAGCAGCAGGATTCCAGTCAAACCAGTGAGTTTGGCGGTTTTGAGACATCATCTTTCATTGAAAAAAATGTTTTTCATTTTGCCGACGCGCATGGCTACGGCGACGCGCGCGCATACCAGAAACCGGAGACTTTTTTTTTGGCCTAATACTCTGTTATTTTACAGCTAGCATACTGTGTTGATTTTGAAATTACTGCCACGGAATTTCGCGATCCTGGGATTTATGACGATCTGATACGCTTATCTCAATCCTATTGCGTTACTTCACGAAAGAGTTCATCTATTTACAAGTGTTCCACGTTATTTTGCAATAACAATTACGTTTTCACTATTTAAGCCGAGAAGAAATCGGCCTCCGTACCATACAATCGTAATTAGCGGTAATAAAGCCGTTCTTAAGTAGATTTTGCACGAGATTTTTTATTCTTAAGTTGACTGATACACTATCGTTTGGTGTTGGAATGATCGTTGTGCTCAACATTCTAATTAAACACACACACAAATAATTCCTTAGCGGGCGGCTAATTATGGAACTTTTACTCGTTCTTAAGCAGAGAATGCACAGGAAAATCAATTCTTAAGTTGCGGATCTTGCATTTTGGTAACGTTAATTAGCTTTAAGTGAATGTTTGCTTCACTTAAAGCTTAATCCGCCCAGGCGAAATAATAATTCGCCCGGGCGAAATAATAATTCGCTCGGGCGAATTATTAGTCCGCCCGGGCGAAATAGTAATCCGCCCGGACGAAATAGAGGGCTGGAAATTTGTGTTGGTCATGTCCTAAATACACTTCCGTACAGATGAGTAAATAACAGGTAAATATAAGTATTCATATCATCCTGATTCTTAGCAAATCAGAGTGCTCCGTACAATTTTGGTAGCAAGAACTTGGACTCAATAGCTCTATTGAATGGACGTACACGCTATTGGGGACGTCTCTATAGTCCGAAGTACCATTGGTCCGAAGTACCATTGGTGCGACGTACCATTGGTCCGAAGTCCCATTGGTCCGAAGTCCCATTGGTCCGAAGTTCCATTGGTCCGACAGCCCATTGTTTTATACGTTCCATTGGTATAAACGTCCCATTGGTCTGAAGTACCATTGGTCCGAAGTCCCATTTGATTCTAAGTCTAATATAGGTTTTCCCAGCGAATTTCCGAATTTTGTGTAATCATTTTCATAATCAGCTATTCAATTTCGCGTTAGTTTTGCACACGTGGTCAAATTGGGGTTTCTTTTTCGTTTTGGGTTCGTTCAATTCCATTTCAAACATTTGCTCTGAATGTTCGTTTTCATTTTCGGACATTCTATTTCGTTTTGGTGCATTCAAGACTTAACTTGTAGCAGTCTTAAATTAAGTCTTTGCAACCTTTTGACAGTTGACGCATTCAAATTAGCGAACATCTGTGCGCTTGTAACGTATAACCATTCTTTTCGTTTCTAATTCGTTTATGGGCAATCGCTTTCATCGTTTGGTCATTTAAATTAGTAAAAACTTTCGATACATTTTCCTATTTTTCTCCGAGGTTCATTTCCCCCAAAACCTTGATGACTGTAAAATTTACAATGTTACAAATTAACTGATAGGCCCTAAGAGGGAAATAAGATGTAATTACGAATTAATTAATTGAAGGGACTAAGATAATTTAATTTTCACTGTTTATCTTTTCTACTTGTTCAAACGTTTGAGCAAGGGGCATCTTTACATTGACGATTTCTTGACGTGCAAGACATCGGAACACCTATGCTTGGCAATGGTTGCACCATTCACTTTGAATGAAAGCTTGGTGAAATTGGCCGGGAAAACCTATAGCTTTATTGTGATCTGTGGGGAAAAAAATATAAAATGGTGCTCTTCATAACAGGAAAAGTACACGAGCGATTTGAATGATTCTTTTATTTAAGATCTCAAAGCTTAGAACATCTTAACAAAAATATGGGATGTCATGTGGGATACCCTTTTTTGACTCGCCGTGTACAACAGTTTTGAAACAATCCGAAAGACCAATCCGAAAGACCAATTTAATAAATGGACATGTTTATAAGCGACATGTTGAGCTTCCGCTAAAAGGGGTACTGGTGCTTTTGATTAACGGTTGACCAACATTAATAAAGTGTAATTAGCCTACGGTACAATAGGTAATACATGCGTCCTTTGGGATATGGTTTTCCTTTGTATGACGGGACATCATGTATGTCTTGATTATATTTCAGAAAACTCGGACAAAATAGATTGACAAACATAAAGAAGGACGAGTTCAAGAACCTCACCCAACTTCTGCACTTGTAAGTATCAAAGGAATTTCCCGATGCAAAACCTCATTTTCGGGATTACACCAGATTGTTTTATCTCAAAATGGGACGCATTCAAGTCCATCACAAATCAGACCCAATTAGCTCACAAACTGTTCACTTTAGCAAAACAAAAAGGTTATAACCAACACAGGTATGCCTACCAGTGTCATTGTTAAAGGTTTATCCACTTTTATATTTGTCACTGACGTGTGGTTTACATGTGGCTGGACTTTGTAAAAATGAAGACTTGTAGACTACATCCCTAAAATTAAATGTACCATACATCATTAATATCTTTGGGACCATAGCAGTTTTTAATTTTCAATTTTTGTATTCACCATTGACCCATTCACCGTTATTTGAACATTTTTTTTTGGAGGGGGCAAACTGCCGGCACGTTCAGCTCTGATAATGGGTTTTGGACAAATAAGTTTAGCTTACAATTTATTTAACAATTACTGCAACCACAGACTTGATTTCGAGTAGGCAATAAGCCATTTGCGTGTTAAATTTGAATAAAATCTGGAACGCTGACTTAATACAATGCTTTGCACGTTTTAACCTAGCATTCTCCCGACCAAAGAGACTGTTACTATATCACGTGATTCGGGGCAAGCCTTATGCTAGCAACCCCCAGCTCCGGCATGGTCTGGTGTCTTCGTGCCATTCTCACCCATTGTGAACAATGTATGGGTGCTGAGCGTCTCTTACGTAACTATGCAAGAGCTTGCCCCGAATCATGTGATTAGCAACAGTGTCTTTGGTCTGGAGAATTCACAGTTAAAATGTGCCAAGCATTCTGAGCAAGTCATTGTAATGGCTTATTAAGGGGCGGATCCCATTGATGTTCAAGGGAAATCTAGCTATGAGAGCAGTATAAAGGTCATCCTTTTTTTCTGAAGGACGCTCCGCTTTTTTCTTGCCCAAAGGGGTACCCGCTCGCGCAAATCCGATATTTTGTTTTGGGTTTGTTGGATCGGTACGACCAGAGTTAGCCTACTCTATAACGAAACTTTCAGGAATACGTGAACTAAATGCTAATTATTTTCATAAATTCAGTGTATTTTGACAGACCGTAATATATATTTTGATATGGTGTACCAAACTGCAAAAATGCTGGAACGAAATAAAAATATTTCGCAGTAACTTACTCAGTATTGTTATTTTACAACACAATTCATCCACACAGAAGATGAAGTCTGAAAAACGTTGATCACTCCAATCAAATGTTCATGATGACATCCAATAAGTTTTAAGGTGATTGCATAAAAATCCTGCAGGCCGTTAAGGGTAAAATAGCCTAACCCCTTGAATATTGCTTTTCACAAAGCCTATACATGCCCTTGAAAATAACTTCTTCTGTTTGTTTGATAGGCGCTTGGATGACAATCAGATATCTTATATACAAGGTGGATCGTTCCTACCTCTTAACAACCTTCAAGTCTTGTAAGTAGCTGTTCTCATTACATTCTGTATTTTATTTCCATTCTTCCTTAATAAGTAAATCGTAGCTTTACCCACTAGACCCATAACCAACACCCCCAAAACACATAAAGACCCACAAATAAATCCTACTTTATCATCATGGAAATTACTAATTAGTAAAGATCAGAGGAACAAACGTTTTGCGTTAAAGAAAATGCGTGCTTTTTGGGTGTGGCACCCCGAAAAAGATATTTTCAAATTCAATTGGTAATTGTGTAGCGTAACATTAAAAAGAGTTTCCAATAACACATCGATTGAAAAAAAATCGGTCCACGATAAGTTATTAATTTATTAATATCTACTTTTGAATTAGGAGCGTCCTGCTACTCAATCAGTTCTGAAACCACGCAGGACCTAGTGTACGCATGCGCTTTTACAACTACTGTTTACGAATAAGCCCCCCCCCCAAAAAAAAATAGTCGGTCTCTGGTCAGCGCGCGCGTCGATTTTAATCATGCGCGTCAATCTTCTTCAAAATGTTCCGCGGTAGCTCCAACGCATCAATTCCGGAACTTTGGTCTGACCAGAGACCGAGTATTTTTTTTTTGCCTAATAATCTCAACACCATATCCAGTATACTACTGCATATTCAAGTAGGCCTACACACATCTACTTACAGCATTTCTCTCAAAACTTTGTGAACGCCATCAGCGCCATGTTGACAACAATTTCTTTTTAACTGATTTATAAGCTTAGGTCTGCAAATTCAACCTAGCAAATTAATTTGTTACAGGAAATAAAATCGTTCGGGAGAAAATCTAAATCTTGAAAAAGCGCGTCTATGTTTGATTCATTCATTCACATAGACTTCTGGACAGCAATCATCTGAAGAGTTTTGATTCAAACATGGCTGAGGGTCTAGGTGTTGAATCATCGTCGTAAGTACTCAGTGTTCTTGTTTACGAATTTAATATGAAAGAGGTCTAACCTGACAGAAATTCGGCTCCCATGTCTCTTATCAGTATACAAAAGGTATACGTAAAGTTAGGATCGGGAATGCCACCTGACAATCATGGGCGTCGCGAAGGGGGGGGGGGTGGTTAGGGGGGGGCGCTTGCCCTTCCCCCCGGGACGAGCAAAAAAAAAGGAGGAAAAAAAGAGGCGCGAAATCATATTGTTGTTAACTTAATGGGTGAGGGGGCAAATGTCCCTGCCCACCCTCGAAAAAAGATCAATCAGGAAAATCATGGAAAACATAGGGATTTGGGGGAGGGGGGTGTGCTTTGCCCCCCTCTAGAAAAATCCTGGCGACGCCCATGCTGACAATGTTCTATGGTAATTTCTGCACGAATCAAAAAGTACTTCTAGCAGGTTAAGTAAAAGGGTAGAAATTTTCCGATTTAAGATATGACTGATGACACATAGGCCTTAAGTAAAAGGAAGTCACAGTTATAACGAGGAAGACAGTGTGGAAGTTGCAAGGACAAAATGATGTGGAAATAGAAAGTGTCGATACGAATTTTAATGAGTAGTTTATTTTATTTCTTTCAATTGATTAATTAAGGTTGTATATCAGCTTGCAAGACAATGGATTGACCCGTTTAAGCCCTTATACGTTCAGTCGAGTGGGCAGTCCTGTAAACATGTAAGTATACGTCTATGTATATTTTGCTACGACTGGTTTTGCTGTCAGTAAAGCAAAACTGATGTTTTCGAAACTGAGTCGGGCTTGGAAACTGAAACAGTGCACTCAATGAGGGTTTGTTCTGATGAGGTTTCCTTGACCAAGGCTTCCAGCTATTATTTTTTTGTTACCCCGCTGATTTAATCTATAATAGATAGTAATGAGGTATGTGTGCAGACGCAGTGTTCATAAACACAATAAATAAACGTGATCATTGGAGCCCATATCAGAAGGATAATGATTACGAAAAGCATGAGGGGAATTTCAAACTTCATTTTTAATAACGAAAAATCGATTTACTCTTGTAAACAGACAAAAAACCCGTCGGAACCTTAAATCACTAAGACATTGGATAAAGCTTTTTCCTTAAAGAGTAAATCTTTGCTCCATCCAACTAAAACCATGCGGGGACACGGCTGTTAGTGAAATTTGTTCAGTCCAGCAGGCCCGGTTTTAACTCCAGTTTCCTCAGGAAGGACTCTTTCAACTGTTATGACTTTCAATCCTAGCTCAATGTTGGAAATAACAATGTTATTGTGGTGTCTTAATATTATTTTACAATTAAAAATACGAAGTTTTCTATCTTAAAAAAACTTGTGTTTGTGTTCAGAGAGTTATCCAACAACACACTGTCTACAATCCCTTCCAAACTCTTCTACGAATATGGCAAGAAAAAAGAGATACATGAAATGTAAGTTAATATTTACCTTTATGTGCACATCAGCAAGACCTGTTAAAGGTACAGTCCATCATTTGTGATTTGTGCATTTTGTTTGTTTGTTAAAAGCAACAAACGTGCTCCAAATCGAAAGAAGAGTGGTACACGACTTACCTAATGAAGTTTCAGCTCAGTTTCAGCTGCATGTACATTTCGAGAAAAACAAAGATCTTGATTTCAATTTAAAAGTTGCTGCAGGCGCGGATCCAGAGAGGGGGGGGGTCAAACCCCTCCCCCCAGCTCTGTCAAAAAAAAACAAATACCATACAAATTCCTGAAAAATAAGTCGACCCCCCCCCCCCTGCTGTGACACCCAAAAAAAGTTATACTGGTATTATGTTTGCCTGTTCAAAATACGGTACACCATTCTGTAATCTAGTGTTAATAATCATCGAATTTGAACAGCGCCCCCATTCCCTATTGAAATGAGGTACCAGACGCGACGGTTTACCACGATTCCACAGCATAGACATTCATATGTGGCTTCTTTGACAATAAGGGAATAATAATGCTTGGCAGGTTCGGCTCGAGCCATTATCAGCGTACATTCACCTGATACGGTTTTTAATACTTTTTGAGTCAAAAAGTCGACACAAGTCAAAAATTGCACAAAAATTATACATATCCAACGATTTTGTTGAACAGGTTTACTTCATTTTTTATTTTACACCCCTCTCGCTGTGGTATGGAATATCCTCTCGCGAGGAGTAGTAAACAATCTCGAGACCAGTCTCGAGACCACTTTTTGCTGGTCTCGGTCTCGGTCTCGGTCTCGGGAGCTGTGGTCTCGGTCTTGGTCTCGGTCTCGGTCCCCTTTGGTCTCGTTATTTTGGCCAGTCTCGGGTCGAGACTGGCAATATGTAGCATTTACAGCTTGTCCATTTACTTCGTGTTCACTTCGTTCAGTACCGTTGATAGTTTAAAACATTTGCTAGCCCGTAGATCATTGTTGTCATCCTAAGTTTGTTAACGAATCGTTATATATCGTGGTTGGTTCGCATTGCACGTTGGAAAGTCCCGGATCCCCAAAGTAGTCGTACTGCTGCAATTCAATAGTCTCTAGCTCCAAATTTTATCCCCCTTGCTGTATAAGCCGGAGGGGGTATTGTGATTCTGTGTGTGCACCAAGCATTACATTCACTGTGTGGACTTCCGAACAAGAGATGTCCACACATAAACCAGGTAGCAGCAACGTTGTGTGGACTTGCCCAAGTCCACACAATGTTTCCCCTCTCTGGAAAACAGGTTTAGAGGCATTTTTGGGTTGGGTTTATCAGTGGCGAAATGAAAAGAAACACTAAAGGAAAACATTGTGAAAAAATGGGCTGAAAGAGTTTTCACAGTTTATGTAAAAAGTGATTTTTTTTTCACAGGTTTTTCTTAACTACACGAAAACATAAGAATGTCCACACTACGTATGTAACGTAAACACGCGTGTTCTACATAACCCCAGAGGACGACACACGAAGGGAGAACAAAAGATCCTTTCGGGAATTGGATCTTTTGTTCAAAACGGTCCTCTGTAGTAAGTTTGTGTGCTTATATTCTATGGGAGAGTGTTATATCACAGGGACAAAGGGAAACACAAATCATTGTCCTCAAGAGTATACCGGTAGTTTTGGTTAGGTTAACTCATGTCAGCACGATAACTTGAGAAAAACTTCACTAGGAAATTGAAATTTAGTTTGTAGGTTGTTCTTGGTATAGTCTTAAGATGCCTATTGCTTTTGGGGGTCAAAGGCCAAGGTCACTAGTGTTAAAACAATAGAAATCTTCCATTTTGTTTAGGGGACACTGACAAGTATCCATACTAACTGACTGTGTAAAAATTGCTAGCATGCGAGGGGGATCGCTTAAGTTTCACTAGCAGTATTATTTAAAATCAGGTTTACAAGTCTTGGTAGAAGTTCAGTCCTATTATTATTTTGTTATTGATTATCCGCTGTCTCGGTCTCGGACAATAATCTGTCTAGGTCTCGGTCCGCCTTGAAGTGGCTGGTCTCGGTCTCAGTCTCGGTCTCGAAACGTCAGGTCTCGGTCTTGGTCTCGGTCTCTGACTGTCCGGTCTCGACTACAACACTGCAATGCACTGCGGTAAACATTGCGTGACGTAATTAGTACATAGGGTTATTATTTAGCCAATCAGCACACTACCCTGGTGCTCCGCGCGTTCTGTGCAACATCACGTAGTACGCACCACGCGCGCGTCAATCACCATATAAGGAGATTGTTTACCTACTCGCCAGAGGATATTCCATACCATGAGCTCCGTGCGCTTCCAAAAGAGGGCGCCCTTTTACCTAACAACGACGCTCCGTGGGCGGGACATTTCACTGGTTGACGCGCACCGTTCCTTGTGTGTGACGCACGTACACCAGGGGATTTGTTCTATTTACACGCAGTGGCCGCGCTTCGCGGTAAATAAATAGCAGTCAGGCAAGATGGCGTCAGTCGGTCACCCCCAACTGTACTTCCTTTGCTGGTGAGGGGGTGCTTGTGAACGGAGCGGATAGCTAGAGGGATTGTGCGTTTAGTGCCAAAACACTGACGTACAAAAATAGGCCTAGATTTATTTATAACACCTCACCCACATATTCTGTGTCTTGATTGGCCGAGAGCGAGTCACATGATACTTTTTTTATTTTGCTATCTTTCTGTGCACGGCCAAAAGTACTATACCCGTAGTTTATTTCAACTGTGTTTAGATTAAGAATATTAAAACCAAGCGGAATCTGTAGGTGAGGTGTTATAAAACAAATATTGAATGCTCTACCTCGTTCTGAAGTACAACTAGCCTCCCTCAGTGATCCATGGAGCATTCTATTTTTCCTTGGCTTCGCCTCGGGAAATAGAATGTCCATGGATCACCTTGGGAGGCTAGTTTTACCACAACACTCGAAGCATTCAATATTTGTATAATATGTGTGCCAGAAAAATGGGTATAGGGCGGAGACAATTTATATAACATCCTCGTTTTAAAAGGTCGGTTGGCCGAGTCGACATCGATCGACGCCCATGATGAGTTCTCATGTACTTTTCATAAAAATAACAGAAACTTCAGCAACAACAACATTTCAGAGATAGCGCCCGATGCTTTCTTAGGAGTGAGCTCCATTGCATCAATGTAAGTAGACTTTCATTGATACTCACAAACTGTTAGAGATGTAAAAGTGAGCTTCTATGAGCTCGATACAAATGAAATAAATATCTGTGTCTGTCTTGATCTACATATATTTCTTAACGAATTTTGCACAGAAGATTGTGATAAAGACCTCTCATCTAATTTAAGCTTTGACTATTAGTTAAGTCACAAAAGCTATTTCAATGGTACATGTAATCTGTGAGTTATTTAAGGGGATATTTAGTTCAATAGTATAGGCCTCCTAATAATAATAATAATTTGGGAGGCTAATCATCCTTACTGGCAGCTGGGATGCTGAACTGCGAAGGACGCGGCTACAACGTGGTCGGGCCGCTGGGACGTAAAGGCGCCTATGGCTGCCGGCCACATCGACCCATATATGACCACGGAGCACAGCCTGAGATCGAAAGAGTTTGATTTTTCCGGAGGGGGGAAAACCGGAGGGCCCGGAGAAAAACCCTCGTGGCACAGGAGAGAACCAACGCACAACTCTACTCACATGTGTCCCGCGGCCGGGATTCGAACCGGGGTCACCTTGGTGAGAGGCGAGCGCTTTACGCACAAGCCACCCATGCCACCCAGGAGCACACCTCCAATGGAAAGACGGGCTAAATATAAAAATAAATCTCAAAACTTTGACAATCAAAGCAGTTGTTCGAATTACTCAAGTCACCATTTATTTAAACACTTCTTTTCTCTTGCAGATATTTGGGTATCAATAAGATATCGTCACTTCCCGAGGACTTGTTTGACAACATAACGATACTTCACACGTTGTAAGTGAGAACCAAAGCTGATGGCAGACTAGATATAGCACAATTCGGACGGTGACCCAATTCTTTAAATTCTGCTCAAAGTGTAGCGAACATACAGCAGCATTACGTAGTTAGATATCATGACAACTACTTTCACTTGTTGAATTGAGCTTTCAATAAAAGCTCATAAAAGTTGTGGTCTAAATATTAGAACACAGACCGTCAATGATTTACACAGATTTTTTCAAATCGCACGATGATTAAAGGCCTATAGCCTGTAAGGCATTCTCAGTGAGAACACAGATCGGTATGACAAAGTAGTCCGCTCACTTTTTATTCGTCCCCTTCAAATAACACAAATATCGGTAATTAATACAGATAGCGTGTCTGTTTGTTGTGATCTAAACTCTTATGCTACTCTGTCTAACAAAACTGCTTTCATTTCTTTCAGAGACTTGTCTAAAAATAATCTTTCTTCGTTTCCGGCGGAACTTCTGAAGACTCAACATAAACTTCAACATCTTTATCTTCAACTCAACTACATAAAAGAACTTAGAAAAGGGATGTTTGACGGACTCCATTCTTTGCGAGAATTGTAAGATGTTGTGCCCCTGAATTAAGAACAACTGAACCCAACCCAATATCCAATCACCATATCCAAAAACATTATAATACAGCACCAAACCAAACACCCTGGAAACCTTAAACACCAAACCTATACTTTCGAAAATCTGCAACCCCCTATCTCTGAACTTCCAAAACCCCAAACCCACAGGGCCCGCGCCTTCAACAAGAAACCAAAACAAAGCTAAGGCGAGCCATCAGATAACAGACCGTTCGGGTACCGGGTCCGGTATGCTAATTTCTTTCACCTCAATCGGTACGAAGCCAGAAGCCACCCGGTCACTGAAGCGTGACGACCCAATTGGTCCAAACTGGTGACTCAGGGTTTCACAATAGGCAACGTAAATTGAAGTCTGGCCATTGTTGGAGGATTATTTGGCCCGCTGGGATTACCAGCAGCAACTTCTATGAAGCTCAACACAGTCATTGTTGCCTACTGGAGGATTAGCGCGTCCCAAATTGGTTCCTTTGTGATGAGCCAGAGCCATGGTGCAGAAGCCTGGTGGAGTTAATCCAGGCCGATCGGTTCCATGCAAGGTCCCAATCCCTTCAACATACTGGGTGGGCTCAACCCCGAACGGTCCGGGGAGGGATTCTAATTTGAGGGCTCGCCTAAACATCTACAGAGCCCCACATATATATCTCGAAACAGTAGAAAGCAGAAGGTCGTGGGTGCGAGTCCCACCCGAGTGATTTTTTTCCAACTTTCACTCGGGAGGTAACACATTGAGTATACAGTGTTTGTACGTCGGTGAAGGGCAAAAACCTAATATTGATTTATATCACCTTCACTCCAAAAAAATGAAATCCATCTTATGAATGTAGCTAAAACCTGAACCTCAATTTTACCCCAACCCTATCCCACTTAAATCCCAAGCCCAGAACCTCCAAAGTCCAAACCCTATAGCCCGTTTTTACGACGCTTCAATAAGCACAGAGTTTTCTGCTGATATTGGCTTGACTCATAGTCCTGATATTGGCGAAACTCTCAGGAAGATCTTTCAGGTAATCTAAGTAAGCAAAATTTATATTAGTGTGTTTTGTATGCGTACATTCCGTGGAAGAGCTGTTCAGTTTATATCACAAAACTACTGCCACCGTTTAATTTGACCTTGTAAATCTGCAAACCCCTATTCTAAAATCCCCAAAATCATCACCCCAAGCTACAAATTGCTGTATTTAATTTCTGCTTTTTAGACAATTTATAATTGTTTCCACGATACTCCTAAGGAATGAATGCCTCAAGTTTAATCTGGAAATCTTTTTATTGTTTGAATATACTAACAGAGTGATAGGCGTCAATATGATCCACACGATAGATAACTATGTGTTTTCAGAGACACAGTTGGTGAATCTGTGAGTAATTTATTGAATTGTACTACATTAATAATTTCTGTTTTCCTGCCTAACAATTTGTCGGACAATAATTTTTTTTCGAGAACTTTCCTCGACAGGTTATACGTACCCTTTTTCCCCCCGACCTTATTATACACTTTTGATTTTGTAATGCAATTAAATTTAAAAAAAGGATTACCACCGCGTTGACATATTCCTTTCATACATTGTGTACATTTGTACAGAACTCAGCCATCTGTGATTATTATGTGCAAACCAATATTTCTACATTGTCGAAAAATCGAATTTTTTTGAACTGCTTTTCAAATTTGAAAATATATAGAATACATTTTGGTCTTTCAAGTTACTAATTATGCAGAGCCTGAATGAGACAGGTTTACCTATGACTGACGATCTATCCTTTGGTACTTGTTGACATTTTATGGCAGACATTTATTCCACAACAAGCTGACATCGCATGGACTTGGAGAACACCCATTTGCCACAAGAAACAAGTCACTACAGCTCGTGTAAGTCTTGAGAAGATTCAGACAGGTTAAGCTATCGTTTATTATCTTTGAAGTTTGCCAATCTGCAATATGCATGAAATACGGAGACTACCGGTACTAGTGTTTGTAATAAAATTGTCATTTCGGTTATAATTCATCCCCCCCCCCCCCTTAATGACTCAATTAAATTCCTTCGGCATCTTTCTGCCGGTATCAATCAAACCAACAACCACACACACATTTTGTTGTCAAAACATTAAGACTGAGATGAAATGTTTTATTCTCTGAAAAGGGTGTGAAAAGATGCTTGCAACAATATGATCAACATTACTGTCAATAAACCCATGAAAATAGCAACGAATATATATATTTTCTGAATGTGACTTATTTTGTGCTGAGAGGTTTGCTTTGATGATCCGAATTTCTACATTGTTTTTCAGATCTTTATACCGCAACTACTTCGACAAAATCTGCAATTCTGCTTGGCAAGATTTAGGACAGAATTGCAACGTGTAAGACAATTGAATTCAGGGACTTCAGTTATGAGCAAAATAATAAGCAAATAGGGACACTGGCTTGAAAGGTTCCTGTAAACAATATTTACTGCATAATTTGCACTGTGGATAACTTCGGTAGCGTAACTACCATTACTGCATGGGATGAATGGCTAAAGAGAAAAGAATTCTGAATTGGTCACTGAGTATCGGCTTCATAGGCCTACTTTAACATGCCTCAGGCTGAAACACAGACATATAAACGCATTTATATGTCTGTGGGCTGAAATGACATCGCAGCAACAGCGCCCTCATTTGTTTTCAGCAAAAGCATGAAAGTGTTTTCAAATATAGACGTTTCAATTTTCAATAAGATTATCGCAACAAATGACGTCAAATGGTTTCCATACAGTAGAAACGCAAAAACAATACGATTACTGTTTAATCAAGAGTGTTTCTCTTTACCGTATCTCTTCATCTTCAGATCATTGGATAACACACTCAAAGTGGTACCCTTCACAAGAGTGGACCTCAACATGTATGTATTGTTTGTAAAGACCCGATTTTTACAAAGTAAGCAATAACAATGACCTTTATCAAGTCCAGTAAGTTAAGGGCCGAAGAGGAGAATCTCAAGGCCTGATTTCACCCCCTTGTTCCGTTCGATTGTATTGACAACGTCGATCATTAGATCGTTGCAGTGTTGCAGTGTTGCAATGCAGTGTTTTTAAACTAACGGTAAATGAAACACAATCCATTCCCCGTCAGGGACTATTATATAACCGACATATAGATCCTTGTCATTTGATTGGTGGAACTCACATCACGTGACATTCGTTATTGTTTCCATTCACGCCGCGGCTCAAAAAGTACAATCCGCCCATGGGGAATAGGAAATATACAAATATTGAGAGGATCAGCGTGGAATGGGAGGAATATTATTGCAAGGTAAAATCTGGACTTTTCCATTTCACGTGGCGAAGCCGAGTGAACTGGAAAAGTCCAGATTTTACCAAAACCTGGGTCGTAACACGGCCTGTCAAAGGCCGCCATGTTTGTTTGAACTGTTTGTCTCGCTATGATTTTCAAGATGGCGTACCCTGATAAAGGTCTATTTTTCATAACACCTCACCTACAGATTCTGTGTCTTGATTGGCCGAGAGCGAGTCACATGGCACTTTCTATTTTTGCTATCTTTCTGTGCACGGTTAAAAGTACTATACCCGTAGCAACCAAAGTACTTTTGTTGATGTACCCTAACTCGGCGCGGCCCCAAACGTGGTGCACTTTGATTGTTTCGCCTGTAGCGCCTAGCTAGAGCAAAAGTTTTAACTGAAACTTCACAGAAAATGAAATTTCATCAAGTTCTAAACACTTCTGTTCATAAATTGCGAGTTTATTTACCTGTAACAAAGTTAGAAGAAAAATGTATTAAGTGATTTTCCGATTTTATTTTCATGTGCAAAGTGAACCCTTTGAAAATGCCCCGAAACATAAGAAAATAATTCGCGATAATAATTATTTATCAGAATTTATCAAGTTTACAGAAATTCTTCAATGTTAATTTGGAATTTTCCGAGATTTATTCAAGTGCGCCATTTAGGGAACACTCCGCCAATTTGTGCCCAATTTCCGGACGCCACCGTCGGATTTAATTTTGGATTAAATTATGAAACCGAAATTGTTCACAGAGGTTAAATAGCAAGCATTAATAAGGTAAAAGTATTAGTATTTTACTGCATGAATTTGAGGTTTGTCAACAAAGAGGTTTGGCAACACTACATGAGGAAAGTCGGGTAAGCTTCGAAGTGCGCCACGTTAGGGAACACGACTATGTACCATTAGCAACCAAAGTACTATATCCGTAGACTTGGCCAAGTATGGGTTGCGCTCGGTCTGTGCCTATAGTAAATCCACTCACAGTGCATATCGCATATGGTTGCAGACCAGTAAATAGGCCCCAAATTGCCTACGCCAGCCAAATCACGATTTGCATGCCCTCAAAATCTTCAGTATTTGAGAGTATTGTGGGCCATGAACTTGAGGGTTTGTAAAAAATATGGGTGGAAGCCGTGCACAGGACTGGGAGCTTGCAGTTGTGTGTAATTTGGATGTAATTTGGACCCTAAAAGCGCTCTATATTGCAATGGAGTGTAGCCATCGTTTTTCAAAATGGCGATGGGCTTCAGGACTATTTTTAGGGGTGATCATCTTCGGATGGAAATTTCTCCTAAAAGTCATCAGTTGACCCCCCGAAAATTGAAAAGAAAATGAAATGTGATGAAAAAAGCTTTAATTTGATGTGTGTCTCGAACACCTTGGAGAGTTGTAAGTATTTTTCCCGAATTTCTGAAGTGGGAGCATTTACCATTGGGGTCTATGGAAGTTTATTTACTGGTCTGCTACCATCCTTACAGTACATAACGCGCGCCCTCATGCGTCGAATCTGGACCTTCGTGTTAAAAATGTACAAGTACATGTTATTTTCAAGTGATGCAGAATTGCTAACTTTTGCACCACATGCTCTGCAAGACATGCACACACATGTACGTGTAATGCGCGTGCTGTACAGTGTACATACAGTGTGTGCGCATTGTTATACGGCACTGAAGTGGAACGCGCGCTGAAGTGTACCTTGTCGGGCATCTGGAAAGACGTAAACTAAGTGATTTTGCTACTTTTTTTTAAGATACCGACTTAAAGCAATTCCGACTTGAGTCAAGTCTTCTATATGCGTGACGTGGTATTTTTGTGCACCTTGAGCGTTGCGTGTAGCGCGTATTTTCCAAAGAGAGCGCGCCACAGAGTAGGTTTTCGTGAAGGGATGGTTTGGAAGAGAGAAACACATTTTCCACCAATTTTGTATTGAAAATGAAATTTATTTTAACTGTGTTCAGATTAAAATAATTTAAAATACTAAAACCAAGCAGAATATGTGGGTGAAATGTTATAAAACAAATATTGCATGCTTTATCTCGTGGTGAAGTAAAACTAGCCTCCCTCGGTGATCCATGGAGCATTTTATTTTCCCTCGGCTGCGCCTCGGGAAAAATAGAATGTCGATGGATCATCTCGGGAGGCTAGTTTTACTACACCACTCGAAGCAATCAATATTGTGTATATCATTGTGGTTTTCCACCGTGGTCTAATAGATAAATGTTGCGTAAAAGGCTTGGTGGAAATGTTTGGCCAGGTTATTGGTATATTTTATTGATCTTTTCAGTGATTTAGTTGGACGTTGGTATGCTACGTCAATAATAGTTGGGCGATCCACCAGTAAAGCAATGAATCAATGTGGATTCAGCTGCAAACATCTGGAGAATGTGAAAAATACATTTAATTGTACATCGTGCTCTCAAGGTACCTATGGAGGAGTGTTTGGTGGGTGTAAGCCCTGCCCTCCAGGTATGTCTTCGTATATTGTAGGATAGACCTATGTTTCATATCTCTTCTACATTTGATATCAGATAGTTCTTCAACATGGAGATCATTTCAGTTGACAATTGCTATTATTGCAATTGTCCAATGTCAAGAATTGCCCTGCAATGTACAACCACAGAAGGTTGATAACCGATGAAGCCAGCACCGTTTTTCAATATAACACGCACAAGCTGAAAAAATGAGATAGTAACGGACAGACATTTAAAAAATGACATAATACGGGAACGGTGATAGCCCGATTATCCGAAGGTTCGATAGTCCGAAGGTTCTCTAGGTCGAAGAGTCATTAGTCCGAAGGTTCGTTAGTCCGAAGATTCGATAGTCCGGAGGTTCGATAGTCCGTAGGTTCGGATAGTCCGTAGGGCCCATTATTCCGAAAATAGCATAAAGGTTAATTAATCTGAAGGCTAGGCTCAATAGTCCGATTACACGATAGGATTCTACAGTCTGAATCGACAGTAAGGTTCAGATTCGTCAGTCCGACAATTCGGACTATCGGACCTTCAAAACTAAATGTCATTAAACTATCGAACTATACTTTCGTTATAATGAACCTTTGGAATATTGAACCTTGATTTCATTACGGACTGTTGAACCTTCGGACTAATAAACCTTTCTAAATTCGGACTACCGAACCTTCGGACCAATGAACCTTCGGATTATCGAACCTTCGGACTATCGCGTCAAAATGTTCGGATTAAAGAACCTTATTTCATTGTCGGACTATCGAACCCCCTCTTTTCGAAGAGTTGCGCATTTGGTCTGTCGAACCTTTGGACTATCGGGCAGACCCCGCGGGGAACAAAAGTCTCAAACATTTTTTTAAACGAAGTGAAAATACTGTTGTATTTGAGACATTGTACTGATTTTCTTCCAGGCGGATTTTACCAGGACAGCACCGGATCAGTTGCCAATCGACGCACTGGTATGAATTGCAAGCAATGTAATAAGGGTACTTACGTCCCACAAAATAAACACCCTGGGAAAACTATCGGTGATTGCACAGTATGTCCAACAGGCACCAATAAGAGTTTTCATGCAGGATACCGAGCATGTCCCTGTGCGTCCAATCACTATCGTAAACACAGGTTCGGTCAATGTTTTTCGTGTCCCAAAAAAGGAATCGACTGTACGGGAGAATATCAGCATCTTCTGCCAGGATTCTGGTGGACATGGGACTGGGGTCCAGCTGACAACTATCAGTCCTACAAGAAATTTGTCAAAAATTTACTCACCTGCAATGATAGCTATGACAGGCACACTGAAAGTTTTGATGGAATGTTACCAAAAGTTCATAAATGTCCTACCTCCGAATCGTGTAAGAATCTTGCAGCTGGAATAAACGCAACGTGTGATGATGGTCATGCCGGTTTCCTGTGTACACAATGTCAAGCAGGCAGTTATGCTTGGCTGGATAAATGCTTTGAATGTCCAGGGATTTGGGCGTTGATACTGGAAGTCTTGGCAGTTCTTGTCATCCTTGCAGTTTTGCTCATAATTGTCTTACTAGAACTCAGACGACACAAACGAAGTGGTCGATCACTCATTAGCGTTCTGTTCTCTCGGTTCAAAATCCTACTAGGCTTTTATCAAATCATGGGTGAGATATTCGAAGTGATGAATGAACTTTCCTGGCCAAAGTCACTGGTAAAACTTGGTTCCTTCTTGCAATTATTGGAGGCCAATTTGATGCAGGTGATTGTCAGTCCTCGATGTTACTTTCCCGATTTCACCTATCCCAATGTTTACATCGCATTCATTGCTGGTGCGTCGTTCTCGGTTACTGTGATATTGTCAGGATTGGGCATTTATGGTTTTAGGCAATTCCATCTGCGGGTGAGGAGTACACCGGATGAGGTTCGCAAACATACGCTGGCTAAAACAAATGAGAGAATTCTCTTGGCTGTTGTCATTCTGTTGTTTGTTGCATACCCAAGCTTATCAGCTGTCATCATTAGCTTACTGCCTTCGGGATGTGTCACATTCTCATTGAATGAAAATGAAAATGTTACCGTTACTCGGCTCAGATCCGACTACTCCGTTGACTGTAACAGTAGTCAACATGTTGCATTTAACTACGCTGCCGAGGTTTCCGTGTCTTATGTCGTTGGTTTCCCGACTGTATTACTTATCATGTTGTGGTTACATCGTCGTAGACAAGCATCGAAGAAAAACGGTCATCAGCTTGAAACTGCTGATATCCAGGCACACGGTCTCGTTGACCAGCAGCCTTTACTTGATACTGACGACACGGGCCCGTCTTGCAGTTACCATACTGCCAGTCATGCAGATCAGACTCATCCTAGTGATTCACTACATATGGAAGATGAAGAAATTGCACATATCGGTGATTCTCTTGAACGACTTAGCTCCGAATTACCTCTTAAAGAATTAATCGAAGTAAGCTCAGAAAGCATTACCTGGGTGAGTTTCCTGGACGAGAACTACAAGGAGCAATATTGGTATTGGGAGATAGTAGAACTAGCTCGCAAAGTCCTCCAAGTCCTGTTCGTTCTGTTATTCGGTGCGGATGATCAATTCATTCTCTTTGCGACCATTATCGTATCTGTTGCCTTTCTAATCGCCCACGCTTACTTGAAGCCAATGAAGGATGCCGCAGAGCACCGTATTCAGATGTGGTCCTTGACTACCATCTTTTTGAATCTACTGGCGGCATCCTTGCTTGTATTACCCAGCGAAGATGGCCATACCGATGACAGTGATGCAAGGAAGGAATTTCTGGCAGTATTTCTTGTCCTGCTTAACATCAGCATCTTTGTAATCGTGGCAGGTATGTATTTTGATTTTCTATCGCGCGACATAGTTGCGGTTTGCAAAGTCTTTCGGTCTTTGTCATTTACAATAAGTTAACAACTTTCAAATGAAGCAGCTTTCCTAAACACAATTTTTGGCTAAATTGGTAGGTACTTTCTACAGTTACTTATAACATTTTTGATTTAGTCTTCTTCTTTTTTTCGTCATTTAACTTGCAGCCGTATTATAGTGGCCCACACAAATATTTTGTCTTAAAAATCCGACTGTTTGATCAATTTGATCTTCCCCCTCGTGAGCATATCTGTGTATTATTTGGTTTGTGTTCACATATTTATTTTTTTAGTGAGTTCCATCCACGTGTGTCTGAAGGTTCTATCCCAAACGGCGTGTTGTAGCTACACTGCAGCATGTTTCTGTCACATACGTCGTTGTCTTGCACCAAGCCATCATCGCACACAGGAGAAACATCGCGACGATACTGAGCCAACGACAACTCTGATAAGTGGAGTACCTATTGAAGATCGGAGAAACAATAACGAGTGCCGTACTGTCTAGGAATTGCATTGTATTTTCCCCTCCAACATCGAAAAAATGATGAATTGAGAATAACTAGGCTGTGAAGTTTGGTCAGAGTATTTGATGGCCGTCCTTATTAGTGGATAAAAATATGATGATGATGATGATGATGATGATGATGATGATGATGATGATGGGGATGATGATGATGACGATGATGATCCTGTCTGCAAACATGGGGACTTTTTGTAGTTTGAGAAAAGTTCGTTTTGACTTGGACGGATAATGATTGTAGCATTGACAAAGGTGGAAACCTTGCATCAGAAGAAATAGTTAAATGACTTATGGAATAACCCTTTATTACTTTATATTAGAAATAGTTAAATGCATGTATTGGTTTAGAAAATATCTGTTTTCAATTGTTTGTATAGTACAAACTTCGTGGCCTCTCTGAATGTTTTTATCATAATCTAGTTTTAATACTTTAACAGCTACAATGTTTCTTTGTTTACCAGGCAGCTCTGTTTCTAATTATTATATAAACTTAAAATGTCAAACTTTAATCTTTTACGCAGAATTGTCGACTAGTTTTGTATAACCAGTGGTTTTTGTAGCTCAATTCCTTGGTACTAAATAGTGAATTTTAAGAGCAAAATGGGGACGCTGATAAAAGCAGAAATGAGACAGTAAAAAGAGGCTCAACCGGGATAGACAAAATATGTATTGCGACAGGCAAACAAAAAGCCTGGCTACACGCCTGGTATTCATAACCTTTTTGTCATAATCTAGTTTGAATACTAATAGCTAAAAGGGTAAATTGTCAACCAGTAATAAGAGAAGTGTCTAATGTTTCTTTGTCTACAGGGTAGCTCTATTTTTAATTAATATATTTTTTTTTCAAATACTTAATGGAGAAAACACTAATCTTGTACACACAGTTTTCGACTTGTGTTTTGCAGTGGTTTTTGTAGCACAAATTAAAGAGTGCTAAATAGTGGGTGAAAGACGCACACAAGCTTAAAAAACCCTCATATTTAAGATCTTACCTTGGGTATAGTTAATGAATGATTAACGTATTGATGAACAAATGACGTCTCCATAGGAAAGAAAACAAAGAAAAAAACAAGAACATACCGTTTGGTATCAGTTTTGTATTTACTTAGAAAAACAAAATGATGATGTTATATTTTTCTTATTGGGAGTGGGTTAAATTCATTAAGTGTTTGCATACAAAATGAGTACAAAATGTACTGTAGATTTGTGGCGAAAAGATTTTTAGCATTGACAAAGGCTAAAACCTTGAATCTGAAGAAAGAGTTACATGACTTATGGAATAACATTTTGCTATATTATATTGAATATGTATATTTGTTTTACGCAACGTATGGTGATTATATGATGACAATAATTAGAAAATTGAATTTAGTCGCTGGGAATCTCTTTATCATTAGTAAGTTTCAGTACTTTCATAAGGAAAAGTGAGTAGTAATGCATGTAGTGAGAAAGGTGTCTAATGACTCAGTGTACAATGACTCTGCTTTTAGTTATTTCAAGTACTTGTCTTAATGAGGTGTACATTAATGTTTTACTCATTATTGTCAAACGTAGTTTTGTACAGGCAATATTTTTATAGTTCAAATTTAATAGTGCAAAGTAGTGGTTTAGATGAAAACAAAATAGCTAAGAAAGACGTATAAGTATGTTGCCTCGTATATATTGTGAATATGTCAAGAGGATGTGGTGCTTGTTTTTATTTTTGAAAATAAGTTGGGTTTTTTTCAGCATTTCAAAATGTAGTGTTTTAAATAATAGAGGCCAACAACTAAGGTTTGAAACCTTGATTGGGTTGCTCACTCAAATAGGCCTGCGCTGGCTTGTTCTCCATCCAAAGATGCCAACCGGTATACATTGTGAGAGCATGAGTGGATATCCATGATCCTTAACCCCAAAAAGTTTCATATAGTGGCTACGCATAAGGAAGTAATAGTGGGAAATAGTCACGATTGTTAAGTTTGTTAAATTAAAATATGACGATAAATATCCTAGGCCAATTTCCCAAAATTTCGTCATATTTCAAATTTGTGTCACTAATCTTCAGTCATTAAATGGAATAATAGACGAATTGAATTGAACAGAGCTCCACGATTTCTTATTGCTCTTCTTGTTAAAGTTATGTGCATTATAATGATACATAATTATTGATTTAAGAAATGTGAAAACCACTTTGTCCGCCTGGTGGCTCAGCTTGCCCAGCCCGCGGGATTCAGCCCGCGAATCGGCCCACTATTTGTTGGATGTTACCCGGAATCACATTTTTATCCTGGACAGTTTCAAAATAGAAAATGACTCAAATGTTTGGACCCCAGTTGTGTATATTTCCAATGGGGCCGCTTACGCTTTCGCCTCACGGCCCTTATTTTCATAACTTATCATTCTCGGTTGAACAGGTCTATTGTGAGATACAAACGTGGACGTACTTACGTTCGTGGTGGGTGAAGCTTAGGGGCGGAGCAAGCAAATCAGAGCTTTTCATTGGCTTGGACCAAACGACTGTTTTCGTGTTTGTGCAAAACGCATGAACACTAGTAATGCTCTCGTTTACTCGTTTATCCGACCATCTGAACTGTGAACCCATTTCCTGTTAGAAACAACAACCTATGAAGAAATACATACACCACTCAGTGCATGTGGTTTTGAAAGTAAAAGGATTGAGGAAGTACGATACAATGACGTTGTGGTACTTCCCCGCAAGAATTTTTGCGAAACAGAAATTCAGGGGCTAAACGGGAACTGAAATGTGAATAGTAAGTCCATTAATGTGCCTGTCTAGTAGGTATAAGTGGGGGATACCAGACTTTGCCATAGGTCTGGGGGTAGTACAGGGCCAATGGGGAGAAGGGAGGGTACCAGACTTTACCCCCACCCGCCCCCTCCCAATGATCCCCTCTCCCTCCCCTCCCCCACCCCCGTCTCCACCCCCTCTTGCCCCCTCCCAATGATCTCCCTCCCAATATCTCAGTCTCAGCCCCAAGCCAAAACCGGGGACTAATATCTCTCGTCTTGAAGATCTCTCTCTGTCCAGCTGGTGAGTCTGATTGCTTATAAATCTAAAAGTCTGACCTCTTAAAAAATTTAAAAAAATTATATTGATATATATAAATGATGGATATGATTAAGCCAATCGTTAAGGGATTTTCTAGATGGAATAAAGCCACGCTGCGCGATGACGTCCAGCGATATAATGTACCGTACAATCAAAATGTTGCTCTTACACGTAAAGTCTACATCAACGGGATAAAAAAATACAAAGCTCAATTTAGAAACTTGAGGAAAAAGAAACTACATGAGCTCAAACAGATTGTAGACGATTATGATCTAGAATATAACCCGTCGGGTTATAAAGGTCGATTTTTGAAAAAAGATATACTCTCGGCGATTCAAACTCTAGGCAACCCGAGGATTTTCAAGAGGCTGAGTTCAGAGCGACGAGGAGATTTAGAAACAACTTCAGAAACTGGGAACTGATTCCTAGACTTTTTAACGACGATTTAGTCAAGTTTTTTGATACGCACAAAGATCAAATTGTAAATAAAATCAAGTCAGAATTGAGAGAGCTGAGAGGTTTAAAAATGGAGCTCACAATCAAAATAAAATACGAAAAAACCAAACCGGATGGTACGATAGAAACGATCGAAGCTACACATTTTACCGATCAGAGAGTCGTTTTAAATCAGAGTCAAATAAACCAGGTTTTAAAAGAAGACATCGACCAGATATTTAAAAAGGACGAAAGGTATACGAATCAAGGATCGGGTTGGGTTTTAAAACAGATAATGGCGTTGTATATTAACATCAACAGGTTTAACCCCGTGAGAGGTAGTTCTTATATTGACCTACCAAAATGTATCAAACAGAAAACGGCAATGATTAACATTAAAAACAAAGACGACGAGTGTTTGAGATGGTGTTTGAGAGCTGCTCTTGGCTTGTATACGGATAAAGTAAAAAAAAAACATAAAAAACGATCCTAAATATAAAATTCATAAAGAAGAACCTGTTGTATACACCAAAGACGACGGACTCAAATTTAAAGGCGTAGACTTTCCAACACCGATCGACCAGATACCAAAGATAGAAAGACAAAATAATTTAACGATAAACGTATACGGTTATGAGGGGGAAATATATCCGTTATACGTGTCTAAAAACTACAAAGCAGAGTCACGGCCTATCGATCTGTTTTTGTTTTCTGAGGGCGACAAGCATCACTACTGCTGGATAAATAATTTTTCGAGATTGATTTACAACGTTACAAAACATAAAAGTAAGAAATATTTTTGTCGAAGGTGCCTGTGTCATTATAGAACGCAAGTAAAATTAGATAGACACATGACTGATTGTAACGGTATAGATACACATCCGTCAAAGATTGTATTTCCTACCGCTAAGCGAAAATATGTAAATAACGAGTGGATAGTCGACGAAAACGATGTGCCAATATTAGAATTTAAAAACTACAGGTTTAAACAAAAAGCACCGTTTGTAGTTTACGCCGACTTTGAATCGATATTAGAAAAAAACTCGGACGCTAAAAAGGACAACACGCAAAAGACAAACATTCACAAAGCAAGCGGTTACTCGTTGGTAGTAGTTAGATGCGACGGCACCAATGCGTATCAAGAGACTTATAGAGGTAAAGATGCCGCATCAAAGTTTGTACATAAAATGTTAAAAATACAAAGCGACATAAATTGCATATTTAAAAAAAACCAACCCATGAAATTTAACGCGCGAGCTAAAGAACATCATGATAAAACAAACACGTGTTGGATTTGCGAGAAACCAATTTATCCCAATTACTCGAGCAACTGTCAGTGCCAGAAACCCAAAAAACCAAAAACAGAAAAACAAATAAAAGAACATCAGTACGAAAACAAAAATGGATTTACCGAGTATAAATGCCTCGACTGCAAAAAGAAAATCAACAAATTTAGAAAGGTGAGAGATCACTGCCACGTCACGGGTAGATATAGAGGTGCCGCGCACGCCTACTGCAATCTAAAATTACAAGTTAAACCAGGTTTTACCCCCATACCG